CAAGAAACAGAGCAAAAGCAAATTTAATTTAGGACTTAGCAGCAGCAGCAGCAGCAGCGGTGGCAGCACCAACACAGACGGCAGCACTGGGGACCTCCAGCGAGGGGACAAAGGGGACAGCAGATGGCTGGCAGGAGACGCAGCAGCTGCAGCAGCAGCAGCAGCTGCTGCTGCTGCAGCAGCAGACACGGGAACCCAGCTGCTGCCCGATGACAATGCGTTACTGCTCCCCGAGCGAGCCTTCGGGGGCTGGACAGCAGCAACAGCAGCAACAGCAGCAGCAGCAGCAGCAGCGGGAGGGCAGCAGCTGCTGAACTTGAGGAAGGAGGAGGGGAGGAGACACGGGAAAGGAGACTGCACTCCTGCAGCTGCTACTGCTGCTACTGCAGCAGCAGCAGCAGAAGGGCAGGGAGCAGCAGCAGCAGTGGCAGTAGCAGCAGCACTGCTGGGGAAGCAGCTCAACTACTGCGGGGGCCCAGCAGCAGCAGCTGCTGCTGGAGGGGCCCCCCTGCAGTTTGCTGCTGCTAACAGAGACAGATATAATAAAGAGACGGGGGCCCCCTGCGGGTTCACAGAAGCAGCAACAGAAGACAGACAAGCAGCAGCAGCAGCAGCAGCAGCAGCAACAGCAGCAACAGAGAGACAAAGACACAAACAGAAGCAAAAACACAACAGCGCTCCTGAAGACGCCCTGCTGCCGCTGCCCCCCATTGGCTTGCCAGCAGCAGCAGCAGTAGGGACTCCAGCCCTATCCAGCAGCAGCAGCAGCAGCAGCAGCAGCAGCAGCAACAACCAGCTGGTGGACCTGGCGGGCCTTATGCTGTCTCTGCAGATGCAGCGCAAGGGCGAAGACATGGGCGATTGGCTCAGCAGCAAGGCGCTGCTGTCGCGGCTGGGTGCAGCAGCAGCAGCAGCAGCAGCAGGGAGGGGAGACTCCCCGTTTGCTGTTGGGGGCCCTGCTGCAGCGCCGCTGTACAGTAGCAGCAGCAACAGCAACGGCAGCAGCAACGGCAGCAGCAGCCGCAGGTATGA